AAGGTTTAGATTGCATTGTTTTCTTACTCTTTGTATATGTGCTGAACCCATTATATGGGGTTCTGATATCTAGTATGCTAACAAAATGCTGATAAGGTTTAATTTTCTCCCTCTCTCCCTTCTCCCTTTATCTGGGTTTTTGTGAAGGAGTTTCTCTGCTGATATGCGCGACAGTAAAGTCATTATTACTGTCTGCTATATATAGTTATTATATGCCTGTTTACCAGGATTGTCATATGCTGCAAATGCTCCCTATTTTCATTTTTATGGTGATGAGAAGATGCCTTTTGAAATCTTTCCAGTATAATTCTTCATTGTTTGCTTCTATAGTGGTAGGCTATTTATGTCTCCATTTTCATTTTCTTGAAGCTGTTTCTTTGTGTGTTATGTGCAATCAACATGTAATTCATATAACTTGTTTCTGCAGTGTAGGGGCTCCTCGTGTTGTTGGACTGAAGGTAAAATGTTTCAAAATTTCAGCATTTAAAAGTAGTGCCCAACATGATGACTCTGGAAGTCGAGGTCGTGGATCAAAGGTTGCAAAGAATTCTGTTGAACTGTCTTATCTTCCAAAAGATGGTGAAGAGACTACGGCAGAGTCTCCTAAGGCACACAATGTTCCACTTTCTTATGCCACTGAAACAGATGAAACTGTTGCAGCATCCCCTGCTATTCACAAGTTATTCAAGAAATGGTTAACAATGTTACGCACTCAATCACCAAATGAAGTGGTGGATGAGGTTTTGGGGGAAGGAAGACCTCCTGTGAAGATGTCAGAGGCACAAACCGAGACTCAGATCACTGGAAGAGGTGAGATCCTAAAGGCAGTATGGTGCCACTTCTGGTGTCTGGACGCAACAATTAAGATTCCCTTGTTGATATTGTAAGTATTGCAGTTTATATATTTCTCTCCAGTACCACTGTAGTGATTTGCATTATTTCCACTTATATGCTCATCAACGTTATTACAATGGTGTGACTATCTGTGTTACAGTTTTTCCATACGACGGAAGACCTGACAATTGTGTCATTAGATATTAATTGCTTTTAATCACTTTGGTGTTTGCGTGCAGTATCCCTTTGTATTTGGTTGTAAATGTGATCTACGGGGCAGAAGTTTCAAAAGAATTGGCACCTTTATGGGTGTTTGGGCCCTTGATTGTGGTTCTATACATCAAAATGCTCCAAGGATTGTGTAAGCTCTATGCGTACTGCTTTAAGCAAACAGTTAAAATTGTTAAAAGCTTACCCACATACTATTTGATTGCGTACAATTACGTCGCTCACGGGAAACTGAAAGAAGATGTGCGAGCTCGTATCTATCAGCCGGTAGTGGACATGAAGAATTTGGATTACAAAGAGGTGTCAAGAATAAAATTGAAAGAACTCCAAGAATGGATGCTGGAGAAGTATCTAGATTTTGTGGAATCAATATGGCCGTACTATTGCCGGACCATCAGATTTCTTAAGAGGGCTAATCTGATATAGATTTGGCAACTGTAGTTTGGGTTAAGAAAAAAAGGTGTTTTAGGTTGTTGAGAGAGAAATTTTGAAACCAGATCCCATTTTAGACTGGGATCTTGGATCTTTGACTTGAGCGCTCAAGTGGTCTGTGATTCTTTGTAATTTTGAAGGGCAATGTTTTTATATTCATTTAGGCATCTAATATTTATTCCTTAGTAATATTTTATTGCTCCTGCGAGATTCTTTAATGGATGGATCCTTTTTTATTTTGATAACTCATGGCCATCAATATTTCTTGTATTTCAATTTTTGTGGAGTATATGCTATTTGGTTATCTTCTGCATATTGTGTATTTAGTTGGCTATCTCCCTTGAAGTTGTAATGGGTATCAAGGAGGATCATTTTTATTTCCATTCTGACTTGTATTCTCTTTTCTGTATAAATTTAAAATTTACCTTAAATTTACATTTAGGGAGGGGAGGGTATAATAAATTTTGTTAGTAGAGAAAAAAAGTTCTGATGAAATTCAATTCAATTCACAGTAATTCATGAGAATATTCAATTTTCTTTAATAAAACTAATTGTGATTTGGTATTTAATTTTTGTATTTATTTACTTATTACCATGAAAGAGGATAAATTTCTCACAAAATAATAGACATTGAACTACAGATTTCATTTATTTTCAATATAGACTAACAATTTGATTTGAGTAAACAGACTTTATTTATGTAATTTATTTGAAATTAATGTTAATATTTATAAAATGATAAAGAAGTAAAAGTGGAACAGTGTATTTTAAAATTTTATATATTTTTAATTAAAACAAACATGAATAAAATCTGATTTTATTCATCATTTTTTGGAATTGCCAAAAAAAAGCAAAGGGAAGAACCAGAGGCTCGTTTAAGACGTGGAATTGTCCAAAACTTGGGCTGTTCTCATAATCTATAAAAACCAGAGAGCCGCTTTCTTCTTCCTCTTCCAACTGCATCAAATTACTACTTCACTCTCATCCAATTCCTCTTTCCCCTCAGTTCCCAAATGTCTTTTTATTTAATTTCCCTTCAATTCAAATATATTGAGTTAAAATCGACCACCATGTATTAATTTGGTCACTGTTAGACTGGAGCTTCCTTAAATTCTCTCTTTCCCCTTCATATATATATATATATATATGGCTATTAAGCCTGGTTCTTCTTCGTTTTCTTGTTTGGTCGTCTCTTTTTATTCTCCATATCAGTCCAGGAACTTCTCCCAGGTACTGCTTTCGTCCCTCCCTCTTTTTGTCTATCCATGGATGTATAATTTTTCCTTGTCTTTTTTTTTTTTTTAATTTTTTTAACTAAGGAGTAGTTCTGGGTTGTGTTCTAAATTCTTGTTCTTTTATTTCTATTATTTCCCATAAATAACAGGCTAAGTTTTGATAGGTAATCTTTTTTAACTAATTCGTATAATGTGGGAGCTGTTTTGTTAACTGAAATTATTAAATGCAGCTTTTCCATGGTTAAAAATGAAACCTTTCTACTTTGTTTAAGTTTGTATGCACTTCCTTCAACCGGAAACCATGGTTCTGTTTAGTTATTGTTAATCCTATTTTAGCTCTAAAAAGGCTTATATTGGTATTTTGAGGACGCTATCAGACTCTGAGACTTTTGCCTTTTCTTTGTCTCAGTAATTTTCGTTCAAATGGTGGTACACTAATCAGTGTTTGCTTAATGGGTTTGATATACCTGTGTTAAGCCCTTCACAAGGTTTATATAATTTGGCATGTCTATCTCGTCTCTTCATGAGGGTTGGTTAGAGGAAAGATGGTAGAATGTTGTGTAACTGGTTTTTGGCATGGGTGTTGTGATTGGCGAGAAAAATGCTAGGATTTTGAAGGATCGATATTCTCCTTTTCTGCTTCTTTGGGAGGAGATGAATGCTTTTTTTTAAATTGTCTTCCGGTGAAGACCCATGGGCTTTTTATGAATTTGTCTTTGTCAATTCTATATAGAAATTGGCTGGCTGTTCTTTCTTGAATTTTATGTGTTTTCCCGGCCTCTTATTTTTTGTTTATTTTGTCTTGTTTTTCTGGGCAACTAGTCCCTCCATGATGCATTCTTTTCCCCTCTCTCTATCTAAATAATACCTCTTTTTCCAAAGAAAATAATAAGTTGGCTTCAGAACTTTGAAAGAGAAACTGTTTTGCTAGGTGGGAATTTGAAAAAGCCCCAGTAGCCTAAAAAGTACAATTCAGAGAGATTGGTGGATGATTAATCTTCCAGTCAAAGCTAACTAAGAAAGGGAGTGATTGGCTTTTTGTATCAGCTCTTTTTGGGATTAAATTGTATGACAAACAATTATATGCTGCTGACTGAACATAGAAAAGACAAATATTTTAGGTGAATTCCTAAACAAAACTTTAGGTGAATGCCTGTTGCATTTTTCCAGGATATCCCTCTTATTCATTATTCAATTTCTTTCATATATGAAAGATGAGAAAGTGAATGATCTTATGAACTTTCATGCATTTGTAAATTATATGTTCTTTTGTAAGGATGGAAAGTTGACTAATCTGTATCCCATGAAAGAGTTTAAATTGTGGCTGTTTTCTAAATGAGGTTAGTCATTTGAGATTTAAGCAAGAAGAGTTGGTGAGAAAATAGACCTGATTAAGCAAGCTACCAAGTACCTAGATAAACTCATTTTTGATAAGGAACTCGTTCTTGATTGAATCCTATAATTTGGCATATGGAAGCTGGCTACTTTGCAGAGTTGTTTTGGAGCTCAGTTCAAAGAATACGAGGGTTGATGGGTTAATTACACTGGTCAAGTCTTATGAGTCATTTGGGTTTGGAGGGGAAGAATATTGATGTTAAAATGTTGTGGTCTGGTTATCTCAAAAAAAATGTTGTGATTTGGAGCTGCTTATAAATTGAGTTTTCTGGGTTTTCTTTGGGCATATCTAGATTGCTGATTGGTTAATATTGGTCGGAACTGGTGGTCTGCCTGCTTATGGAAACTATGGTTTCTATGGGAACCCCGATTTGTGATTTTTCTCAAGTTGAATGATAACATCTTCTTGCAAAACATTTGAGTCCAATGACAATTGGCAGTTTTGTTAAATTACCGTACAGGACTCTCTTATTTGATATGGTCCTAAATCTCAGGAACATAGTTGTTTATGAGGTCTCATGTTTTGTCTGCTCTTGATTTTGAAAATCATTGAAATTAATCTGTTCCTTATCATATTTTTTAAGGAAAAGACATTTTTTTTGTCACAGAGGGACTTGAACTGCTCTGTTTATGAGTTGCCAACATTATTCTATTTCTTAGATATTCACACAACTCCAAGAGACTGATGTGTTGTGGATACATTAATGCCTGTCCATATGTTCGTCCTGCCTGAAGATGCAGTAGCACACAGTCTTTCTCTTGGTCTTTCTTTTAAAAATCCTTTGATTGCTTCTTCCTAGTTTTTTTCTCTCTTTGTTTGTTGGGAGATAACTTTCACCTCCACACTTTTAGCTTCTGCAGCACATCTTTTCTCCCTCAGCACGTGTCCATATTCCTCTCCTTCTTATCACTATTTTTGTATATATATGTGTATATAACGCCCCCAATAAGATACACAAAAAACAACAGCTTAGTTTCTCAAACACAACACTTGTATAATTTCTTGCAAAGATGCCTTGAGAATCTGTTGAGTTAGAAACATGATGCTCGTTTTTAAAATTCTCCTTCAAATCTGAAAAGGAAAATATGTATTCAGAATCGAAGGCAGGTCTTCTCCATTTTATATCTTTTCCATTTGTTGTTGACTCAATTAAAGAAGGTAAATGACATTTTATTGCTTTGAATGAGATGTTGCCCATTTGCACATTTTGTAAAAAACGAGGTTTCCCTTGTTCTGATTTCTTAACATCTACTGTCTTCTCACTAGTAGGATAACATTGTGTGGAAATATCTAGCAGCAGTTTTTGTTTATTGTCATGCACAGTGGTATGGTGTGAGTTCTTTTTGTTGTGATTTTACTCAGTGGATTATCTACTCTACAATTTAGAATTTGTTTCTGTTAGAGTAAGTTGTTGATTGAGCCATTTTATATTAGTTTAAGATTTTTTGATAATCGATTCAGTCTATTAGTTGACATAATATCAGAACTAAAGATATGATGTTCGAATCCTGGTTGCCCAATCTCGATTGAAAATTGATTTCGCACAAGGTTTGCTGGGCCTGTGCTTTATGTGAGCTTTTAACCTGATGGGCTTATACGTGAGGGAGCTTGTTAGAGTACATAATCCATTGAGTCATTTCTTATTAGGTTAAGCTTTTGGGATAATGGGTTCTTTCCATTATTTAACAGTTTCCGATGTATAGTAAACCAACAAGTGTAGTGAAGTAATACTAGGTCTATCATCTATGTAGTATTTATTCTGTTGAATGTTTTGCTTTTCATCTTATGTTTGTCTAATTTGCTACAGTTAGACTTACGTTTTGTATTACATTAATCATTCTTTGATATCCAGCTGAGCTTATCAACGAGACAATATAACCACCAGAAATATGAAGCTTTGCAGCTTGTAAATGCTAAAGGTAGCTTTGATAACTTGCAATGCTTCAACAGTTTTTTTGAATTCCTGCAAGTGATAGTGATGTTTGGCCTCCTCTGTAGTTACCCATGGCTACAGGTCTTGATTCCCCTGTTTAGACTGCAACATTTTACTTCTCTGCACATGTCTTCTTATTTTTTCTTTCTGGTGTTATGAGTAGTCAAATTATGCCACTTCATACATGGATCTCTCAAGTTAAGAGCAAGGTTTCCAGAGAGGAAAAATGTGCTACTTGCTGCTTGTGAAGATCAGTATTGTGATGAACTTAATCCTGATGATCAGTATTCTGATGAACTTAATCCTGATGCTTTAGAGCAAGTAAATTTCCAATCCAATGCCGAAATTGTTTCTACGGATGACAGTTCATCTATTCCTCTTGAGGGAACTGATGGAAAACCTGGTTTAGTGTCATTCTACAACCGGCCCTATAAAAGACAGGACGATGTCAGTTCTAATGTGCAACGGACTCAAGGCAGCCCACTGTGGTTTCTCGGTCCTGCTGTCTTGGTAGCCTCTTTCATTTTCCCTTCCCTTTATTTGCGCAGGATATTGTCCACTGTGTTTGAGGACTCTTTGCTGACAGGTAATTGCATTTCCTTATGTTGGCTTGAGTTTTGTAAGCCTAAAATTTATCATGGTGAAGAATGATTTATTGGGGATTAATGTTACTTTCTTCCCCTAATAGATGCTTTCTTTCTTTTTCCTTGAGGTTATTTATATGCATATTCCAAGGGCTGTTTTGTTTGTGCTGCCGTCTAGAAATTTCAATGAGTATAAGCAGGATCTGTTATTGAGTTGGATGGAGAAAAGAAGAGAGTTGGGTCCCTGAAATTATTTAGTGGATAAAATAAAAAGGAGACACCAAAAAATGAAGGAAAGAAAAAAGTTTTATACTATTCAAGTTGCCATTGGCGGGAGAAAATTCAGTCCTATATATGAATGTGTTTCTTGTTCTTCAGAAAATTTAGGTAATACATTCCACATTCACTTTATGAATTCCTTTGTGATTGAATAGCATTTTAAGGATCAAGAACTTGATGGAATACCTAAGAATGTTTGAATAGTATTATGAATATGAAAGAAGATGCAGCAGAGATGGACGATTGAGAATACTGAAACTATATTTTCCTTAACAATACAGGTGCAGTATTTGGAGAGAAGTGTACAGGGAACATGTAGAAAATTATTGAAGGTTAATATGGAAGTTAATACCACATCAACCTGAAAGAACAAGAGATTTGAAAATAGATATAGCTAACTTATAATGATTTAAGGTGGACAGAAAAATGTTGTCCATGGATGTATGATCTATTTGGGATTGGATGCCAGATTGTTAGCTTCTAGAATTACTAATTTATTAGCTGAATATTTTCGCAAAATTTCCATATTCTTGGTGTATTGCTTTTTATTCTTAGGATAATATTGATTCCTTATTTGAAGAATCTTTCCTTCCCTCTATGTAGATTTCCTCATACTATTCTTCACCGAAGCCCTTTTCTACTGTGGCGTTGCGATTTTTCTTTTCCTCATAGATCATCTAAGAAGGTCTGTGCAACCTGATTCTGCTACAAATGATGACAGAACATTGCCTTCTCAATTAGGACAAAGAATCTCTTCTGTTGCTACCCTGGTGCTTAGTCTTTTAATTCCAATGGTGACAATGGGTTTTGTCTGGCCATGGACTGGCCCGGCAGCATCTGCTACACTTGCTCCTTACCTGGTTGGTATTGTTGTTCAATTTGCATTTGAGCAATATGCAAGGTATCGAAAGTCACCTTCTCGGCCTGTCATTCCAATCATCTTTCAAGTAAGACACTATCTTTTATCTTACCAGCTTTCCACTTGTCTTTCTTTTCAGTCAGACCATGGAAAAGAAAAACCTCAAATAATATTATCCTTCACAAAAAATTTTAATGTACTTTTTACCTTCTGATAAATCAGACTTTTTTCAATTGTGCGTTTATTCATGGGTCAACTGGAACTAGAATGTTCAATATTTAATGGTTTTTAATAATTCTTTTCCTGCTGGGAATTCATCTTAGTTGACTTTATATTTCACTGGGAGACTCTAAAAGGGTCTTTTCTTGGCTTGGCTTATCTTTTAACAGATTTATAGATTACATCAACTGAACAGAGCAGCACAACTGGTCACAGCTTTGTCATTCACAGTTAGAGGTGCTGAAATGACTGCTCATAACATGGCCATAAACAGCTCTTTGGGTACACTTTTGAATGTTCTGCAGGTCCTTGGAATTATCTGCATTTGGTCACTTGCAAGCTTTCTTATGAGATTCTTCCCTTCCACTACTAGGATTGCACAGTGAAGTACGAATTTCATTTCCAGATTGTGATCTAATTTACAGAGTAAAGACTGCATTTTGTCTTGGTTTTGACAACTTATAAATTTATGCGACTGACTCAACTGCATTGGTGTCAACTTGCGACCAAGTGGAGCTGGGTATTTAATTAGTCTGAAGCATATTAAAAGGCTAAGCAGGATAATTTGATCGAGGATGTTAGCGCAAAAGAGAGCAAAACCAGCCGGGATTGTCGTGCTTGCTATTTTCTGGTCTCATTTGCCAATATCAAAATTTTGAACAATTATCTGGAAGCTTGGTAGAATTTGGATTTCATTTTGCATAGATTGGCCTCATTCTCTACAGAGTGTTAATTCTTTTGTCAATTGTGCTCCCGAAGTCCACCAGGGTGATTAAGACAGTGACACTGCTGAAATTTGGCAGTTATCTTTCTTTGCCTATTAATTGATGGAATTTAATCAACTAAAATAAATCAGTTGAATTCTTACTAAATTCTTTCCTGCATAAATGTCTTTATTGGACTTTATTCCTTACGGAGTACAAGAAATGATGATGTGCCTTTAAGATGTGTTTTCTTTGTCATCTTCATCCTTATGTGACAGTAATTTACTCCGCAAAAGAAGCAAAGTTTGCAGTATTTACTCAAGGTTACTGGAGTCATGTTCAAGTCATGTACTTGCATGTTGATCACAATAATTACAGATTCAGTTATTACTTTTTACTTACTGAGACTACCAGTTCTTTTTCCTGGCTTTCTATATTTCTAACTGTATCCACCATTTATTATCATTCTTGTTCATATTATCAATCATTGATCTAAAAGCTTCTTGGTGTAGGAAAGGACCACTAGGTTATAGGTGATCTCATGTGACATGGTTTATGCCCATAATCCTGATATTTCCATTATAGTGACATAGATGGATACAGGAGTTGGCTACTAAAGCTAGAAGCCTAAAAGACTAGACCCTCTCCTTCCAAAAGCCGAAGTCATCATCTTCTCAACCAACAATGGTATCACCCCATCAACTGTCCACCTTGATGGCCAACGCTAAAATATACATACTTTTTAATGACTGAATGATAATGCCCACAGCTGCATAAGGGATCCATATTGAGAGAGAGACAGTACCTTCTTCTTTGGTGGTATTCTCTCTTGTTTCTCTTTGCTCTTGTCGGTTGTGATATTCTAACTAAACAGATGTCTTGTTATTGGTATTTTAAACTTGGGAGTAGATAGTGTTTTATTTGATATTTTATTTCTCCAAGTGGAAGATTAGAGGAATAAAGAACTTCCTGATTATGTTCATGATGGGAAAGTTTTCATGGAATGAACCATTTGACTAATGAGGTTTGTGTTGATAATCTTTTATTTTATTTATCAGTCAGCAGCATGCTTTGTTTGCCATTAAAAACCTTAACTTGCCTACCTGCGGGACTTGTTGTCCATAAGATCATAGCTAGACATGAAGAGAGAACGTCAAAAGGGTATCTCAAGAATCAACTTTGATTGCACAAAAACACATCCTAGGCATGTAGAAGTGGAAGCAGTAAAATATGTCGCTGTGTTTACACTGTCTGTTGGAAAGTGACTTAGATAAGAAGTTCAATATGGGCACTATAATGTCATATTGCTTCTATACGAAAGAAAAAAAAAAAGTAAATAGATACCATTGAATTTAAATGGTCCAGGTGGACAAGTACTTTGCTCTTGCTTGTATTAGGTATCTTGATGGGACAAGCCCTTCTGGATTTCCACCAATGTTGTTTGCATATCCTAAGATCCGGAGAGTTTAAGCAAAGGTGAAAAATATAAATCTAACTACTGAAACCTAAAGCCATTGCAACTCTCTCTTAGAAAATACAGTAGGTGGGATGAAATTCTTTGTCTTTATATACTTGGACTCTTGTTTTAGCAGAATCCATTTAGTTCTTTACCTTAACCACTAACTATTTATTTAGTGGAGGAATTATCCTTTCTGTATTCCTAGAGACAGACAATTCCCCTTCCAATATTTTTAATTAAATCTGCTCTGTGCAAATTGAACATGATTTGGATGTCTGGTACCCAAAACCCCAGATGGATTTTGGCCTTATTGGTTTATACTGAGATTCAATAGACTTCAATAATGAAGCTGAATTCTTTTCTAGTGTAAAATTGGTCATACAATGTTGTTTTCTCTAATTGTTATCTTGTGGTTTTTAATTTGGTATTAGGTTGTGGCAGAGAAAAAAAGAAAATTCTACCCTTTCAATCAAATAATCATCCCACTAGCAGTAATTGTTGGAATTTCGATTTCTCTCCAATCATCTTCCTCTTGAATCTGCCTCTTCAATTGATGTTGTGTCAGGAAATTTTCATGCCAACTGGACCAGGAAAGCTGCACGCTTACGTTCCTCTTTTCTTCTCTTTTTGAGCTTCCTATAAATTATTTTCATTTTCTTTTTCTCATTTCTCTTCAAGATTGACAAAATGGAATCATAAAAAGCTTGTTTATAAAACATTAAAATATTTAAATTTCTTTAGAACAATTTATCTTTGACTTATTGTTTTGAGTTACGTTGTAAATAAATTTCTTTTTCAGTTATTTTTTTGTCTAGTCAGATTGTAGAAAAAATACCAATAAAAGACTGCTGAGTACATGAACTTATATAATAGAAAGTGATATTTTCTTCTCTCTCAATTTAAATGTGAATGAGATTTTGACTTCACATCTTTACCTGAATCCTAAAGATTTCTGGTTACATAATGGTTTATAACCTATATAGTTGACAACTGCTGCAGTTAAATTGGACCTTGTCTACTAGAAAAGTCAGACTATACTTAAATCTTTTGGAACAGTTCTGATGTATTCTTTCAGAATTCTTATGCAGCTGACATACAAAACAATATTATATATGGAGCATAGGTGAGAGGAGAGCGTAGACAGGAGCCCACTTCTTGTGCTTTCTTCTAGTTTCAAGTGGTTCTTTCTTAACTTTTTTCTTCTCTTTCATTCAATATCCATCACGCTATCTTATCCCCCACATAATTTCCTTTTCATAACCTATTAAAATATGCCTTCACAGTTCATAGTAGCTTTTTACAGGGAAAAGATTTTAAAAAATACATTACCTTCTATCAGAACTGGAAAATGTTAAAAAGAGATTACTAATTACTTTTTTAAGGAAATTTGTGCTGGCAATTATTTATGGTACTGCATCTTTCTTGTCAAATTTGTATTTTGTGGTCTCAAGCTCATAATGCAATTATTTGAACTTCAAGATTCCATTGGATTAGTAGTATAAAACCTATGTGATTCTCATAAAAATTCCATTCTTCCATTTTGATTCCAACCCATGTAACCTCTTACTTATACTGTTGACCTTGAGCTTCTCTTGCTTGTTCTTGCCCGTTAGTTTAACATGGAACCAAGCTCTCCCAGAACAGAAATGGATTCTGGTATATGATACTTTTGAGTCCTAATCAATTCCGGTAATACTTTTGTGCAATGGGCTGCACTGAAATGTCCCAATCGGTGCTGTTTCTGGCCTTATTCATTACAGTTTCTGTTGCTGTTGATGTTGGCAATAATTTGACAGATGCATACTGGCTTCTAAGAATCAAATCAGAACTTGTTGATAGAGAAGGAGTTCTTGACAGCTGGTCCCCAGGAGCTCATATCTGCGGATGGTCTGGACTGATATGTTCTGATGATCAAAACCATGTTTTGGGCTTAAACCTGTCTGCCTCAGGATTATCAGGTTCCATCTCAAATGAGCTCTGGCACCTCACTTTCCTTCAGATACTTGATTTCTCTTATAATTCCCTTACTGGTTCAATTCCTGCTGAGCTGGGACAGCTGCAAAATTTAAGGATGTTGCTTCTGTATTCTAACTCTCTCTCTGGTAAAATTCCTCTGGAGATTGGTCTTTTGACAAAGCTGGAAGTGGTTAGGATAGGAGATAACATGTTTACAGGGGAGATTTTACCGGACATTGCTAACCTAACTGAGCTGAGGGTTCTTGGTCTTGGGTACTGCCAATTTAGCGGAAGTATTCCAGTTGAAATTGGTAACCTGAAGAATCTTGTATCTCTTGATTTGCAGTCGAACAGTCTTGGTGGTTTCATTCCCAAAGCGATTGGAGGCTGTAAAGAGCTTCAGAATTTTGCAGCATCAAACAACAAGCTGGAGGGAAATATCCCTTCTTCAATAGGATTGCTTAAATCACTACAAGTTTTGAACTTGGCTAACAACAGCATTTCTGGTTCAATTCCTTTCCAGTTGAGTCATCTGACCAATTTGAGGTACTTGAATTTGGCTGGGAATAGATTAGGTGGAGAAATTCCTTCAAATATTAACCAGCTCATCAATCTTGAGACCCTTGACTTATCGAAAAATAACTACTCGGGGACCATAAACCTTCTTAACACCCAACTGAAGAATCTCCAAACTCTAGTTCTGTCTGACAATGCTTTGACAGGTACAGTTCCCCCTGACTTTTGTCTCAGCAATTCAAATTTACAACTTTTTTTTCTTGCACGGAATAAGCTCTCTGGTGATTTCCCGGGTGAGGTGCTGAGATGCATGTCACTGAAGCAAATAGACTTTTCCAATAATAAGTTGCAAGGAGTGCTACCACGCAGGCTGGACAAATTAGAGAACCTTACAGATTTGCTACTCAATAACAACAGCTTCTTTGGAAGTCTACCTCCTGAAATTGGAAACTTGACCAATTTGGAAAATCTGTATCTGTTTGACAACATGCTCACAGGTACACTTCCAATAGAAATTGGCAAGTTACAGAGGTTGAGTACGATATATCTCTATGATAACCAGATGTCAGGAAGCATACCAAGAGAGTTAACAAACTGCTCAAGCTTAAGAGAAATTGATTTCTTTGGGAACCATTTCACAGGATCCATTCCTTGGACTATGGGAAAGCTAAAGAATCTTGTCATTCTGCAACTGAGGCAGAATGAGCTATCAGGTCCTATCCCCCCAAGTTTGGGCTACTGCAAAAAGCTACAGCAATTGGCCTTAGCTGATAACAAACTCTCAGGACCTTTGCCACCCACATTCAGATTTCTTTCAGAACTGAGAATCATTACCCTTTACAACAACTCCTTCCAAGGTCCTCTTCCTGTATCCCTTTACCTTCTCAAAAACTTAAAAATCATCAATTTTTCTCACAACAGATTCAGTGGCACCATACATCCTCTCACTGGTTCGAGCTCTCTGGTTGCACTGGACTTAACAAACAACAGTTTCTCTGGTTCTCCTTCTGGACTAGCCATGTCAAGAAATTTAAGCCGTCTCCGCCTAGCATACAATCATCTTACAAGTGACATCCCATCTGAATTTGGCCAACTCAGAGAACTAAGCTTCCTTGATTTGTCCTTTAACAATCTCACAGGAGCACTGGAACCTGAACTGTCTAACTGTAAGAAGCTTGAACATCTCCTACTTAATGGAAACCAATTGACTGGTGAAATGCCTCAATGGTTAGGAAGCCTACAAGAACTTGGGGAGCTTGATCTTTCTTCCAATAAGTTCCATGGACCAATTCCTGCAGAGCTAGGTACCTGTTCAGGATTATTAAAGCTTTCTCTTCACTCTAACATTCTCTCTGGCGGGATTCCAAACAGTATAGGAAATCTTACTTCTCTCAATGTTCTCAATCTTCAAAGGAACAACCTCTCAGGCTCTGTTCCTTCAACAATCCAGCAGTGCAAGAAACTGTATGAACTGAGACTGTCTGAAAATTTCTTAACAGGCTTGGTACCAGCTGAGTTAGGAACAATGACTGAACTACAAGTAATCTTAGATTTGAGCAAGAATCGTCTATGTGGAGAGATTCCATCATCTCTTGGAAATCTGATGAAGTTGGAGAGATTGAACCTGTCTTTCAATCAACTCCAAGGAGAAGTACCTTCTTCACTTGGAAGGCTGACCAGCCTTCACATGCTAAACCTGTCGAATAATCATCTCAAGGGCCAGCTTCCCTTAACCTTTTCAGAGTTCCCACCAAGCTCTTTCTCCGGTAATGACAAGCTATGTGGCCCGCCATTGTTATCATGCTCGCAGCTGGTGGATCAACAGAAAAACAAGCTCTCCAACAATGAAGTTGCAGGAATCATAGTGGCCATTGTCTTTACTTCCACGGTTATATGCCTAGTGATGCTTTACATCATGCTAAGAATGCGGTATAATTGGAGAAAAGTTTCAATTTCGAATGCTGATGGTGGTCTGAATGAGAAGAAAGAGGAGGAGAGATGGGTCTATGGAGATGAGAAGCAGAGGAATGGTGAGTACCGCCGAGTGAATTCTGCAACCATGGTCCATTCAAGAGATGATCAAATTTCTACACCATGTCTTTTTCATCTCAAATTGGATACAAGAGTCACTGAGAACTCCCAAGGCCAATGGATGTAATTACTTTGCTTGTTTTCTTTATTTTTCTAATCCCCTCTTCATCATTTTGTAAAGTTTTTTCTCTGCCCTCACTTCCTTTTAACATTTTCATTTCCAAAAGTATAGAACAGTTCAAGCTCACAGAGTTTTTAGATCATATTGGTGCCTTACTAGCCTTAATTGAATTCTTCTTTTCTCTTTCCCGTAGGATGCTCAAGTGATATTTTGTTTGTCCTAAAAAAATAGAAGATCAAGTTTTCTAGTTAGCAATGTTTTGTTTTAGGGGACTTGCTCACTTCGTTTTGGTGGTTAAAGCTTTCTTTTGCCCATTTGAAAGATGCCCAAAGTTACTACCAAATTTCTGTTTGGCACAAATGAATTCATTTGGAAATGGACTTGATTGAAACTTCATCAAATTTCAAGTACATAATTATGAATCTTTTCAAAATTATGAATGTTTCTGCCTTGCACTAAACTATAAATTCAGGAAAAGGTTAGAAGACTTTTTATCTTCCGCCCAAAACGCCACATAACACATTGAAAATCCAATGTCATGATTCTCTTTGTTTCACATACAATCTAAACACCATACTTTTTGTAAGCATAAATTATTAACCTCCATCTATTAAAATTACATTCAGAGTTAAAAGTTCAGTGTGTTTTATCAGATAAAATGAAGAAAAAAATTGATTTAAACTGTAGTGAATTGATTTTTAATTTATTAATACTCTTCATAATAGATAGATGGTATATAACACACTTTGATTAATCGCAGATAGATACAAGAACGATTATCTGTAGGTTTATTCTTGATAGACTCCAAGTACAGCTTGCAGTTTTTCTTTTAATGTTATTCTTATGCCATTACTGTTAATTGTCCTTATTGATTTTTCTCTAAACTTTTAACATTTTCACTTTAATTTAATAATTTTTCTAGACCTTGTTGATTAGATAAATATTGTTTTGTAAAATGCAGAATCAATCAAATCAATGTGATCAAAAGTTTCAACATAAAATGTAGTACAAAAATTTAATTTCTAAACAAACTTTCTCTACTTAATCCACAATCAATATTGTGATTGAGAATTAAGATAATTAAAATAAATGAATTGAATAGAACGACATAAAAAAATATTTTGATAAATTAAAATCAATTCAAAAAATAAGATTAATGAAAATGTCACAAGTTATCTTGATAAGTTGATATCAATTCTCCACTCAACAAGAATATTGAAGAAAATCTATCAAAGAGTAGTCACAACAGTTAAAAGTTAAAGCAAAAATTTAAATTTTTATTGATTCAAATGATGTGATTACAATAAAAAAAAATAATGAGATCTTTATGTAGTCATAAATTTTACTAATTCAAGTAGAAATTGAAAACTAAATTCTAAATATATTCTTATATAAGATTTTGATTAAAATTTAAATTAAAAACTCATAAATATAAAAGAAATAAAATTCTTCTCTCTTGAATTAGATTTCTAATTTTTGGTGAAGAAGTTGTATTGAAGATGTCTTAAAAGCTTCTAAGTTGAAGTAGAATACAATTCTTCTTCCATGAAAAGATTTAAGAGAAAATCTAGGATTCTTTACATACTATTTCACCTCATTTTGAGTGAGAGAACTCGGCTAGGACTCTTGGAAGAAGAGTTGGATAGCTTCTATGTTTGTAGGGATGAAAAATCTAAGAGTTCTTGATGGTGAAAACTCTTTTGGTGGCCGCTTGCTTGAAGAGATTTGGCTGAACGGCCATGTGAGAAATATTGAAAAAGAAGAAACATTCTTGTGAAGGGCTGACCGCTTGTGATGAGAAAAATTAAGAGAAAATTTCTTTTGAGTGAGAGAAAATTTTTTCATGTGCAAATCCAAGCTGTCCATAATTTTTAGGACTCCTTTTGGCTTGATTTTGATGAGTTTGAGGAGGATAGAACTCCTTACACCCTGATTAGATGATTCGTATGAGAGTTTATTAATATGAAGTATAGTCGGGTATATTCAAAGTTCATTAATGTCCAAATTTAATTATATTTGAATGATGGTCTATAAATGTCTGATAGTGACATCTGTTTTTATTTAAATTGACAAGATGATATGGTTGTATATTTGAGTAAATTTTCTATTTTGACTCTACTTTATTTCATATTACAATAAATGAAAATTAAAAAAATATGTAATGTTAAATATAGAGATATATAAATATATACATATATATATATATATGTATATATAATTAAAATATTATATACATGTATAATATATAAGTAAAAACATAAATATATATATGATTAAATATATAAAAATATAGATAATTAAATATATAAATATATGTATATATAAATCGATATAATTAAATATATTATATATATGTATATATAATTAAAAATATAAATATATAAATTTAATTGAATATATAAATACATATTTATATAAAAAAATATAACTAAATATATATATATATATATATATATATATACAATATTTTGAAAAGAATAAGAAGAATTGTTGGGTAGAAGAAATAAAAGAGAAAAAATTATAAAATCATCATAAAACCACTGAATTATTAGTTTGAAAAAATAGAAAAAATCATGGTTTTGAAAACCATGACTCAATTACAAAAAAAAATTATGCCATGTGTTTGAAAATACAAACAAACAGAAAAAAAATTATAAAAAAATCATAATTGAACCATCATCGGAATAAGGTTAAGGTTTTAAGGATGAGTAGCCTAGAGTCCTTAAGTTGAAGGGTCGTTTTGCCCTTGTTGTAGGACATGTTTTCAGCTGTCTCTTCCCTTGAATTGAGGGGCTCGGGTTTTCTTTTTCAACACCTTTAAAGTTTGGCCCAAGTCCATTTTGAATTATGTCCAAACCTTGCTTTTTTTGTCGGCCTTCACTTGTGCACTTTACAGCCCAAATCATCTTTGATTAGGTGTTGGACAGCCTTGCCCGAAACTTAGATGGATGGAATGATCCTTTGAATGTTCCATGTCGTCTAAGATCACATTATATTGTACTTGGATTAAAAAATATTAATTATATTTTAGTTAATAAACTTTTTCTGAAAAATTTAGTCCCAAGTTTCTAGTTAAAGTGTTTAATTAGTTATTTTGGATCTAGAGATAAATAATTAAGATTAATTATTATGTGCTGCATAATTAAGATTACTTAAGAGTATATAAGTAAATTCTAATATATTAATCAATTTTTTAATTGATGAGCTAAAATAATAGAGATTGAAATTAATTATAAAAATATAATTGAGAGGTCAAATAAGTAAAGCGGATTTCCTTTATTATTATTACATATAGAAACATTTTCTCTATAAATGTATTCAACCAAATATAAGGTAGGTATTCTAGATCTACAACCTGCTTCTTGATTTTGTTTTAGTACACCATAAAGAAATAAACATGGCCAAATTGGTTTGTTTTGACATGCCTAATTTTTAATGAAAAAAGATATACTTAGGTTATGTGATAGATAACTAATAAATTTAGTTAAATGATAACTAAATAAAACTTTTAAATTTTATTGAATGTAAAGATATATGTCAAACTCATAATTCTTTGATTAGGAAATCTTTCATTATCTCCAAAATAATCTTTACAAAAGTATGTCCTTTATTTATTTATGTTTTTTCAATTAGAGGCTATAAATTATCAACAATGATCAAGAACAATATTTTTAGTTTATAAAATAAAAAAAAACACTACCAAAACATGTTTAACCAAAAGATGTATTCTTCTCACTATAAGCTCCATCTCTTTTCCCTTCTAAGAAGAAATCTATTAGACCAATCTTGTAGTACATCATCAAAGTCTTAC